AAAAGGAAAAAAAACATGGTGAGTGCATGCAATATGTAGGAAATACTACCAGTCCCCTCCCCCCAACTACTCAGACACAAACACTGGTTCAAGAACAAGCCTCTATTTGTGTGAAATTTGAATTTCAAACATAATTCAAACACATTCTGTAACTATTAAAAGCTGTGTGATAAGCATAACGAGCAAAAAGAGTTACAGACTGACATAAACAGAGAAGTAGGAGAGACAATAGACTTCATGCCAGTCACCACCATGCACTGCACCTGCTACCCACGATTTGAGAGAGAATTTGTTTGGCCTTGCTAAAACATTGATATTTCTAAGCACTCAAAACAGAAACACAAAGCCTTTCTATAACTGAGCACTGCACACCTGTAAGCCAGAACTGTTCCCTGCCGTGCAGCTTCTAGTACTCTGCCCAGTTTCAGGGGATCTAAACTAGACTCCTACCCATTTTTTGGAGACCACCCTGCACCCCAAGGGCAGGAGAGACAGCTGTGTTTACTCCTCATGTTATTCTCTCATTGTATTCACAGAATCACACAATGCTTTGGGTTGGAAAGGACCTTACAGATCACCTAGGTCTAAGCCCCTGCCATGGCTAGTGACTCCATCCACTAGCCCAAGTTGCTCCAAGCCCCATCCAACCTGGCCTTGAACATTTCCAGGGATGGGGCAGCCACAGCTTCTCTGGGCAGTATTGCCAAAAGTATTTCCTTTGTGAAGCTTGGCTAGGTCAGAGATTTGTCATCTCGAGGCCCCCTGGAACAATACCCCCACGAACAGCCTAAGTGTGCGCTGCTTTAAGCACAGGGACTGCAACCCGAGCAGACACAGCCATAAATGACACACATTTATGCAAGTTGCTGTCCTAACGGCTTAAGCAAGGGCACACACATTTCTGAAGGCTGGCACTGGACCCCTTCCAATTTGTCTCTCTAAATCAGGGAGGATTAGAATCAAACCCAGTGTTTCAGGCACAGACCCATGCCTGGCCAGGATGGGGCTTTGCACCACTCCCTCTGCAGCTGCAGTGGGTTTTGCTGCCCATAAGGCACAGCAAACTGGCTCCAAGCTTGTGCCTCATTCCACCTCCTGTGCCTGGAGAGTGGTTCAAGGAGGGGCACACAGCTTGGGCTACTTCAACACAAACACATTGATTATTTTCAAGTGTCATCAATTTCTTTTGTCCTTTGCCCATGTTTCTGAACCAGCGAAGTCCTTTGGACTGAACCTCCGTGCTGAGTTTTGTTCAAGACATCTCCAGCTTTAGTGTTATCTGTAGATTTTATTAATCTATATACACCACTTGCTCCCTCTTACAGATCATTAATGAAGATGTTGAAACACACACAGACCTAATATTGATCCTCTTGGCCTCAGCTTTACATCTCCCCCAGACGAGCCTCTCTTCTGTTCATCACTAGCTCTTGCTGACAGTCTTTTAGCAGGATTTCAATCCAGGAATGTTACTATCTAGACCAAATTGAATTATTTATCCAACTAAGATTTTGCAAGACATACTATTAAGTGGTTTCCTGAAACCCTTAATACATTACAGCTTTTACATGCCCTAATACCTGCACTATTCCTCACTTCCACTGACATAAGAATCATCCCAGACAGGGCTGCAATCATGCTTGGCAAGTCCACACACACTCCTTCTTGCACCCAAGGGGTTTTTCCTGTGACTGATTCCTTCTCTTCCCCACCCAGCCTGGTTTGGGTACCCCCTTTCTAAGATCTGCCACTGTCTCCAAGAGGCTGCTTCACAGCCAGAGTGTCTCTGGCTAGGGGATGGATGGTGAAATCCATCAGGAGGTGAAATCCTCTCTTCCAGAGCCCTGGTGTGTTGTCCTTCTGCGCAGTTCTCTGTAAACCATGGGTTCTCCCTTGGTCTGCAGCAACAGCCCCATGCTGACCTCGTGGGCAGCTCACACGTCAGGGAGTGGGGAATGATCTGTGGGATTGCACCAGGATTGCACTAGGATTATATGCTGAAGGAGGTTAAACAACAGATCTCCTGCTCTCCCCCAAAGCCTTGTCTAAGGGCTAAACCCACCCCAGCTTAAGACAGGGGCAATTTAATCCTAGCAGACTCTGTAAATCCCCAGCTCTTCTCTCTCTAGGCATCAATCTTCCCCTCATCACTCTTGCACTTGCTGGAAGGTCAACCCTGACACTCTCATCTGCAGCTCACTTCTAGGGCATGGATGTGATTTATGAGCACACCAAACTTTCCACGGCTGTGAGTGCCTGCTCTGTGCACTGAGACACACACTTACACCACACACCACGGGACAAACACAGGGCTCAAACACCTCCAGGGCTTCTGGAGGGGAATGCTGTGCCCGGCGCCGGGCGCGCTGCCCGGATCCACCGTACAGCCAAGTACGTGCCTTGGTTCCCCTGTGCTGGTCCTGAAGGATCTCGACATTTACAACAGTGGCAGGAGCAAAATGATTGCAGGACACGTGTTGTACGAAGCTCATACATTTGAGAGAGATGTTTAAATTGCTCAGCAGCGTTCTACTGCAACAGCCACGGAACAGCGAAGCGCTGAAGCAAATCCAATTAATCCTGATGGGCCAAAATATATACACACATCTCAATTCCAAGAATTCTTAAATCTTCTTTATTTTTAAACCCAGAAAATAAAACATACCTTTTAATTAGGATTTATGGCTGTTTGTACCTCTGCTGGGAGAGAGCCCCGGAGGCCCCGGAGTGCTCTGCATAAATGCAGGCGTGGATGGTAGAAACAGAAGGGGCCAAGAAAATTCAGGGAAGACAACAGGGCTTGCTCCTTCTGACCCAACCTTTTAATGCTCATCTATCTGCAAGGATAATAGGAACTCAGGGGGCCACTCAACCAACTGCCTTTCTAATAAGATCACTAGTCCAAAAATAATCTTAATCAATTAAAATATTCCCAAACTGCAGCCAATACTCTTAGTTACAAGGTCATCTCCATCATACAACTTCCAGGGGAAACTAATTATTATCGTGGAGGTGAGGTAGAACTGCACACCTCTGCTCAGTGCCAGCCTGGAGAGCAGCTCTCCTCCTCTGCTGTCAATTCAAGGCAGAACGGCCAGAAGGAATCCAAATTCTCTTCCTGCATGTCAGGCACCGCAGTTTAATTTATGATGCTCTCTTATGAGCAATCTCACTGT